TCAGACGGTTTGCACCGGCTGAGGGTCTATTGAATGCAACTCACCAATGAGATTGCTTGTTTGATGCTCCAGACGGTGTAAGCCGGCTGAGGGTCTATTGAGTGAAACTTCAACAAGTGCCAGAAGATAACTCAGACGATCTACACCGGTTGAGATTTTTAATAGACGCAATTTATAAAAAATTTCCTAAAAAGCTCCAGACGGCAAAAGCCGGTTCAGCATAATCAAACATCCAATCAAAGACCGATTGAGTCAGAAGGATACCTTAGTGAGACGGACTGCGTAACTCAAGCGGTATCCGGAAGAAAGGATGTTTGCACGAGTAACCAGGCAGGGTCAGGAGCTCTCGCTTTTTCTCTCAAGAAATTTCTCTCAAAAATGACAAAGTGGGAAATGAAAGGAGGGGGATTCCTGTTTATAGGAAATCTCATAAGGTGAACCGTCACCTCCTCTTTCCCCTTAGTTTGAAATTTGAAAAAAGAGGGGGAGGGAGGCAAACCGTCGCCTTCCTGCTTGGTGGGCACGTGTCACAGGTGCCACATGGCATAGCCACGTCAGCACCCGTGAGGGGCAAATGTTTAGGGTAAAAATTACCCTGGACACGTGGCCCTATAGGGGTGACACGTGTCATTACCCTATTGCACCATGGGCATCCAACCAATGGATGCCACGTGGCATTGTACCCCCAATGGGGGAGCAGACCCATCTGCTATAAATAAGAGGAATCTACCTCATTTATTGGCATTCAAAAATACGCCCACAAAACCCGAGCAATATTAATTGCGGAATCTCCCGAAATCCGAGAGAACCAATTTACCTTCCGTACATAATTTCATCCGGGATCGTACTAACTTGACCTTCGGAGGCGGAACTCCACCCAACCGGAGTTTCGTGGTTTTGCAGGTACAGAAGTCAGGCGTACATTCCCGGTGCTGTAACTCTCCCGTAGGACACCTCAAAAAACCCCGAAACAAGTATTGTTATGTATATGTTGGTACATAACATGACAACTTTGTAAATATTTTATAAATTAACATTGATATCACTAAGATGTGAAATGTACCATGATAGTGGAATAGTATTATAAATGGTTATAATGGTATTAAAGATTTTTACAATGTGTTTAAGATAAAAATTACCCTAGACACGTGCACCAATCAGAATATAACACGTGTCAACCTAGGATGCGCTCAAAATGAGCCAACAAGGATACAAAAAGGTGGCACCCCCATCATTGGGGAAATGGCGGCCTTCACGCCCAAATCCCGAGGCGTCGTAAACAAAGTGACCTATTTACCTATGTTAAATGACCTAAGGAGGGCACGCACTCCCACATGCCTATAAATAGGGACATTTATTACAGTGGGAACACAATTAGATTTCCACTATTAATCACTTATTACACAAGCATTTATTGCTTTTATCTCGGGATCCGAGATATACACCCTTACATTTCAGCCTTACTTTTTGCCTTCTCCCTTATTCGATACTAACTTGACCTTCAGAGGCGAAAATAAATTCGAACAAGCGGAGCTTTCGTTTGTGCAGGGTCAAGACGTGCGTTAGGCCAATCTTGGAGTTGAATTCTCCCGTAGGACAAAGCGAAAAATCCCAAAACTCAATGGTATACTTTTGAAGCTTATATAACCACTAGGTTGTGAAATTGTGTCATTGATAGTGTAATGGTATAATAATTTATTGTAATTGTACTAAAATGACTATTGTGATACAATTAAAATCTAAAAATTAAAGTAAAAATATATAGTCCTATCACCTCTATTGTTATAGTAAGTTACCATTATATTCTTATTATATATCAACAAATACATAACAATACTCCCTTTAAAACTCCTCTCGAGAGCATATTGATTCTCTATTGAGTACGAACAAACATCGACCCATAGCATCACTAGACACACAATAATTATTAATTAATATAGAGAAAGAGAAAGAAAGAGAAAGGTCCATGTCTTCTGGATTGAAGTCAATATCACATGTTCTCCACCAGTGTCAAATTTGATTTTCATGTACTATCATGGACACCAATTTCTTGCATGGATCCACCATCCACCTGCAACTTTCATTCAATTATACTATTTGTCAACAACAATCGAATCTAAACTCTCCCAATATTTACTTTGACTAATACGACTGACTCGCGTGTCATAGTTAGCTATGTCTAGATAGCTCTTTTGGTTTGATATCATGTCACAACTTTAGTTGTTGACAACATTAGTAGGGGAAAATATGTAAACACATATTTCTAGGTGTATAAATGACCGTACGTATTTTTCAGAGTTTTTTAAAAAGACAATTAACATTAATGAGGGAAAATAAGTAAATAAACATTTTAGAGGGTATAATTATCCAAACACTATTCATAATAGTTATCTCATACTTTTTAGGAAAAATTGTAAATAATAATCCAAACTTTGCTTAATTTTCTTTAAATAATCCCAATTTTGAATTATGCTGAATAAACCCAACTTTGGGGGCTGTTTTCTTTCTTCAATCTCAAATCAGTTAGCAAAAGTCAACGACCTTTAATAGTAGGTTACATTATATGTGTCAGCTTGTCATTGGTGCAAAAAATTAAAAATTAAATTGAAAAAAAAAAAAAAAAAACAACCCAGAAACCACCCAGCCTCCCACTAGAACCCCCAACCTCATCCACCGCTTTTCCCTCCGCCACCTAAAAACCCACGGCCACACCCCGAAAACACCAGACCCCCCTGAAACCTCCCCCCGCGTCGGAAACCTTCGCCGCAGCATTAACTTTTTCCGACTCCGCCGATCCAACATTAAACCTTCGCCACTCGATCGAAACCTGCATCGAGTTCTCCGCAATAGCCCAATTGCCTTCGCTGTCGGCGAGCCACCTCTGCTCCCGTCCCGTTGCCCCTCCCCCTTTCTCCTTGAACTACCACCCTCTTGAGCGCACTTTCCCTACCCCCTTGAACCACCACCCTCGTGAGCACACTCCATGAGCATAATTCGAAGTTGTTGATGCTATTGGAGGCTGAAATTGATGAAATTAGGTGTTGAATTGCTGATTGTAGGTGGCGAATTGGCGTGAGGTGGAGATGGGTGTTGCGGCTGACGATATAGGCTGGTGGTGATGGTGGTTGTTTGGTGTTTGCGGGTTGTGCGGTTGTTTGGGTTGAGCTGCTGGTGTTTGTTGTTGTTATTTGTGGTTGTAGCGTGGGTGGAATGGGGCGGTTGATCGGTGGGAAGAAAGGTGTGAGTTTTCCGGTGGACGGTGGGGCAAGGGTGGCCAGGGAAGGGAAGGGGGTATTCTGAATATGTTTTAATTTTTTTTGTTTATTTTTAATTTTTTTGGTTAATTAACTTTTGACACGTGGCATTTATTAAAAAAAAATTAACTTGTTCAACAGGTAACCGGTAATTGGGATTGAAGAAAGTAAACAACCCCTAAAGTTTGAATTATTTCAGAATAATCCAAAGTTGGGATTATTAAAAGAAAAAGGAGCAAAGTTGGGATTATTATTTACAATTTTTCCTACTTTTTAAAAGGTAGGTTTACTCAATTATTGTAAACTTTTGTTTTATATTTATATAAAATAGATGAGTAGATGTAAGGAAAACATGATAAAAGTAAAATACTTAGATAGATATATTATAAAAAAAGTGAATGCTTGAGACTTGTACAAATGTGAATACGGAGACGGTAAACATGTATGAGTTTATGGTATCTTCGCCTGATTTTTATTCAATCAACATAATTATTATTTTTGAATATAATAATCTCTATTGATTTAACAATATACGAAACATTATAATACTGCATTTGTTCTTTGAATAATAGTAATTTTTTTTATTTATTCTAGTATTCTTTTTGAGGAAAGAATAACTTGACCTTATCGTTAATTTAAGTGAATTTCCACCAAAGTGATTAAACTTCGTGAGAAAGGACCAAAACATATATACTCTAAGTTACAACTAATGTCTCATCATGCCAGTTTTACAAGCCCTTTTAACGTGGGAAAACTAATTAATGAAATCAAATAGAAATCTTTTATCGAATTCATTGGGTTTTGAAGTGATGACAAGGTTGATGTGCTTTGTATTATCAATTGTTCTCTATGTACAGTAATAACAATTTTGAGTTTTGGAGTGTTTTAGCATTCTTGATGAAGATCAAGAAAGAAGTGATTCAAAAGGTTCAACCAACTAACCAAGGAAAGCTTCAAGAGTTGAAGAGCGTGAAGATAACTAGGATAAGGCTTTGTTTTAGTTAGTCCGAATGTTTATAAGTGTGCATGAGTGGTTAAGTACATAATATACTCGGTACTTTCTATTATATAATTTGTGTATTGGGAAGTATCTTCGCTGTAAATATCATCTTCTTTATTGTCTGATCTCCTACCTTAGCTTCATAATTCGTGAGAAAGCATTAATAAGAGAGCTTGTGTGTTTGTTATTAAATCCTTATGATGTATTGATATTATTGATTTATGAAAATGCCATGTTATAAACAATTTTTGTTTAGAGAGAAACTTGTACTACCTCCGTTTCATATTTTTTGCAACTTTGGGTGTTATTTGTGATGTATAAAATATTCTAAAGTTACAAAAAATATGAGACGGAGGTAGTATTTTTTCGTAATGAAATAACCTCAAAGGAACACCCAAGGCAAAAAGAGATAGGAGTTGTTAAGAGTTGCCATCTACTACAGTTTGCAAACAGGTGGTAGATGTTCCCTTTGCAAGATGGGCTTCTTTCATCTTTCTTTACCCTTTCAACAGAAAATTGTATGTACAAATGTACAATAAGTCCTAAGGCTTCTAACTCTACAGGAAGGCATCGCATCCAAAGAGTATCATGTTATTCATGTATTGTGTATGCAACGACAGGATATTCTGCTTTCGCAGAAGACTTTAAACCATAGGTTATTTCTTGGAGCGCCAGAAACCGAGTTCTAGTTTGATTAGTATTTGTTTTACTGTCATTTCTGTTTGTAAATACTAAACTTCAGCCAGAACAGAGAACGAGCATATTTTTGCTTCAAGAAAATTCATTTAATCTACTTCTCTCAAGGAAAACAATGATTACAACCTTAAATCAAAGTGCCTCAGCATACAATAGTATTAAAGACCACATATAACAGGCAGAAATTACATTAGAGATTCTTCTCTATTATGATATACAAATTCTTACACCCCAGCTAACAACTCTTCATCTTCAAAACTCAAATTCAATGTCTGCAACTTGAAACCGGCTCCTTGTATAGATTCTAGCAGACTAGATGCTACTCCAGTCGCTTGAATTGTTGTCTGCTTCGTAAGCTACAAAAGGATACCAACAGCATTATCATTAGAACTATCTAGAACTAAAAACAAGTTCCTTGTTCTTTTTATGGTGGCCGATAAGCCATGCAAAGAATAAGCAACAAACATGTTAATCGTTCAATCAAAATATATTGGTACAATTACTAAAAAAAGATAAACTGAAAAGTTTTCAAGGAAAACATACAGACAACATGAACTTTCGCAGCAGTAGGAGAGCACACAAGGATATAGTTGTTTGAAATGATCAATCGTATAGATATTAGTGCCATAATGAACTTGATCAAGTTAGTTTGAAGTACAGATATAGGTAAAAAAAAAAAAAAATAAGTTTAAGTATAAACTAATGTTAGGTGCTATCATAATAGTTGCATTGCACTTGGATAGTTTCAAAATAGGTAGACAACACAGTGGCCAACAGAATTTTTTAGATCAAACTGTTCTTACTCACCTCAACACTTGCAATGCCCTCAGAAATCTGAACCTTCAAATTAGAAACACCTTCCGCTCCCTGGAAAATTTAAAATTGTAACAATAATAAGACAATATATTTCTGATTTATGAAACAGACTGAATGCTATTTAAGGGTTCATCTACTGCACATCAAGCACAAAATGATGAGATTAAAAACGTCAACTTCTTGATAGAAAGTTCATAGCCCAATGTACCCAATGATGGAACTATATATGAAACCAATTTTTATTAATTGTGCATGTTTTCTATGATAGCCTATTATCCTGGACCGCTACATCTCCCCAGCTATCTCATTGTACCTGGTGCTAATCTGCCAAATTTAAGATGGTTAATTCGAATTCCTTATGTACTTTCAATTCGAGATACAACAAAATTTAACATTTGTCAGATATTCCATCTATCCTGTCTACTATGGGCTTAGGGATTGACAATGGGATGCCAAGGACCAACACTCCCTCTATAAAGCCTTATTTTGGCATCAGCATACAAATGGGTCAGTTCAACACAAGCTTCAAATGGGCTCAATGTTGAAGGTCCGCTATAGTTTAGGATGATAGGTCAAGCTCTCTTTTGAGAATATGCGCGTAAATTATCCTTGGTGCATAGCATAGATGTTGGTGCTCTCCAAAGTGTATAATTAAACTAGCCTAGGCTCTATGATTCTAGCAAGAAAATCTCTAATAAACACCTTGCTCCTTTGTACAAATTCTGTGGAAGTGTGTATAACCTTCTTGTGTAAAAAGTTCCTTAAAGAGGTGGAAACATTTTAGAATTAAGAAAATTCAAGGCATAGGTGCATAGAGGGTTATAAATAGGCATTCCCCTCATTAGTAAAAAGCAACCAACACATGGTACTCTCATTCATAGTAAACAAGAGCATTCTTTCATATTCTCACTTCCCTGCGAATTTTGTAGCTCTTTCATCCGGATAGGTTCAGGTTCAAATATGATAGAATTTCCAAATCTTCATATACTATAAAAGTTTCATTGCACCCGAAAACCTTGTCCCAAAATAATAAAAGCTATATTTCATTTTTATCTATTTCTGTATTCATTTTCATTTTTCTTTACTATAAATAGCCTTTGCTGAACTAAATTGTTGAAAATACACGTAAACATAACATTATATAATGTTTTTAATGTATTTATTTTTTCGGAATTCCCAATGTTAGTCTATTTTTGCCTTTTTACAATTTTTTTATTAAGGTTTGTTTCATAAGATTGGTGTCATCTCTAAATAAAACACTTATGTAATTAAAAAAAAAAATTATATACTAATGGGCAATTTGACCTATTAACTTCAACAAAAGTATTCATAGGTAACAAAAACAATTATAAATAAGCTTATATATAATGGGCAAAAGGGCTATTCATAATTACATACTAATTCATGCATTAATAAAATTTAATAAGAATGGGTTTAAATTTGAAAGTTTCCAAACCAATATTTAATGGTTCAAAAACTTTTTTCAAAAAAAACAAGTGATCTCGACTAATTGATACATTCTAATATTCTAAATAACTTCATATTATAATAAAATTTTAAAAATGTTAGCATTCGCTTTTGATTCATCATTATAGAAAATTTGAAGGTTTAATAAAGAATGGAAAATCCAAACTTTGTTATCACTAATATAATGCATGAGATAGTTTTTCTAAACAATTCTATGTAGGTAGAAAAAAAGAATGTGAGAGAAATTGTGCAATTAGTCAATTTATTCTTAAAAGCTTTTAGAAAAATGTATAATTAATCAATCATTTCCAAACACTAGCTTTATCTTGAAAAGAAAAGAAAAAAATGATGTCATTAATAGTTTTGGAGGGAAATTTTTTTATAAGAAGGCGACACATGGACAGTGGTAATGTCAGCGGTAAACCTGGGCATCGTGCCGGGCCGCCGCGGACCGTGCCTGGCGGGCCACGGGCTCCGGCGTGTCGTGCCGCCATGCCGAAGACCCCGTGCCGTGCCGGCCATTCTCACAGGCCAGCCCACGGCCTGGCACGGCGGGCTCGTGCCGTGCCGGCCACGTGCCAGCCTGCGTGCTGGCCTGGCGGGCTGGGCTGTTTCAAGATTTTTTTTTTTTTTTTTTTTATTATTATTAATGTTTACACTATAATACTATATAAATAAATATATATATACATATATAATTTATATATAAATATATATATTAATATTTATATATATATATATATATTAATATATATATTTATTTAGGGCGTGCCGGAGCGTGCCTGGGCGGGCTGGCACGGCGGGCCTAGGGGCGGGCTCGTGTCGTGCTGTGCCGAAAAGTCCACCTCTTGTCCGTGGCACGGCCCACGGCACGCCGGCGGGCCACCGTGCCGTGCCTCGTCGAAGGGCGGGCCGTGCCGGGCGGCACGCGGGCCACCCCAGCCCGTGCCTAGCTCTAGTCAGCGGCGAATACTTTAGTATTAGTTATAGATTATAACGTTGGGATATAACACCTACAAAATTTTAAAATTCAACATAAAAAGTTACTCCTTGATGCCAAAATTTCTAATGAGAACGACAAAAAGTAACGGAGGGAGTATAAAAACTAAATTTGTAGACAACTATCATAATTTAGTTCTCGCAATTATGACCGCAAATATATATACCATACTAGATTCTATAGAATTTTAATAACTATTTTAATTTTATTAAAAGCTTTTTAGGTTGAAAATACGATACTTATCTATTGGGATGAACCTAACCAAAATATATTTTAAAGAGAGATATCAAGAGATACCTCTAATGCTTGAGTCACGTTTGGGATAGCTGAATCCGTCAACGTTCCTTCTGCCTACATTAGTGGTAGAATTAGTAAAACAGAAATGAAAGTTAAAAAAATTTAAAGTAGCAAGATGGACATCAAGTAAAGGAACAATCGAAAGTATAAAGATGCATTTAAATCACAGGCAAGTATACAATTACAAAGTTCTACCATAAGTATAAAAGATGCTAACATTTAAAAAGATGAACAATTTCATGATATTGATAGAAAGCTCAAATTGAGATGAAAACAAACCCATCTGAATCTATTGCCAATGATTGTCACATATTGATATTAGATTAATTATATACAAACCATCTTTTGCCAAAGCGAAGGAAAATTAATGGAAAAATCACATCAATGAATTTTTGTGGTCGTATCATATCTTCTAAACTCTTATTGTATTATGTGAAAACCATCAATCCAATTATCCAACTAACATAAAAAATTCTAAAACAACCAAAATATTTTGATTTGAACCATAATTCCAGACAGAAATAAGTCTGATATCAGTACATCAGTGCATGAATCTGATATCAGCATGAAATAAGAAGATTGCTTCAGATCTCAATTGTTCTATCATCTTGAATACACATTTGTACACACATCTAATAGAATTAATAAAACATAACAAGTAGAATCCTTCAAATATGCTTACAGAAATTTGCTCTATGCCAAAACTAATACTACAAAACAATGTGTAACATATCTTACAAACATTACTAGTATTAAGGCTTGTTTGGCATGTTTTTTGTTTTCAGTTTTTTAGAAAACAAAAAACCAAAAACAAGAAACAAGAAAAAGGTGTTTTCACTTTCTGTTGTCAGTTTTCAAAATTATCGTGAGTTTAATAAATTTGACTAATTTTTTATTCATTATATGACATATATCATATGATTTTGAAAAACAAAAACCCAAAAAAACAGAAAACTATAGTGATGCCAAACGTAGATGCTCAACAAGCCTATAATAAAAGTCACTGTAGATGATTATCATATATCCTTGCATTGTTAACACTAACACTAAGCATACAATAAAAGTCACTGTAAAATCCTATCACTAAGCTAAAGATGTCAATAATTAGTCCACAATTTATTCATCCCCAAAGAGTAGATGCTCAATCCGGGTTCGAGGCATGTTCTCCCTTCTCTTCCCTTTGCTAGAAACTAGCCTTATACCATAACATTTCTAACATCTCTATTTTAGAAAACTGTACAGTATATAAATTCAACTAGATTTTTCAAAATATAATCAAGAACAGTAACACATCATCAATAACCCCCCAAAAACCCCAAATCCACCCAAATTAGCCAAAAAAAACACAAGAACCAATTGCCACAACAACATTAACACTCTAATTATGTCACCCAATTCAACCAAAACAGCTAAAAATCATTATTATTCAATAGAAAAAACCATGAAAAAATAATACGGAGTAATATAAAAAAAATTGAATGTACCTGAAAAAACATTATCAGCTTATCAGAGGGGGAAACTGGGATGGCAACAGTTTGCTCAGGAGAAGCCTCCTCTTCCGCAACAGCCGCTGTCTCAGCCGTTTCTGGTTCTGGAATTTGAGCTTCTTCCTCAGCTGATTTTACCCTCCTTAATTTGGAATTATGGGTCATTCTCAAATGCTGGAAATTATGGGAAGAAATTGCATTTTTGTGGAATTGAATTGCAGAACAATGGTTTATGGGAGAAGATTTCAGATAGTTGGTTCTGTGAAGTGGAGAAGTGAATGGTCGGAATGCTGAGATTGTTGACATTGTTAGAAAGTTTCGGAGTGTGTACGAATTTTGAGTGTGGATTGTTGGATGGAAGAGGGGTTATCCTCTGTTTATCCACCAGGAGGTTTGGGTTTTATTTTTGATTTTATTGTCTACATCCTCACTTTCGTAATAACCGCAAAATTTAGGAAAATTATATTTTTTAATAATAATTTTTACTATTTACAAAAGAGTATTTTTTAATAATAATTCTTACTCCCTATGTTTTTTTTTTCTTTCTTTCTTTCTTGACGGGAAGAAATAATCTCATTAATGGGTAGCCATACGTCATTTATAGTAATAAAAAAGACTTGAAAACCACAAATTTAGAGAACTTAACACAACTTTTACAATTAAAATCATAACTAATTTGAATTTTGGCATAGCTCACACTCCACCGCTTTTCGCAATCTGTGTTCATGTTTTGATTGTAGAATTGATGACAAACCTTAAATCCATATAAATCTAAATCACTTCTCAATTATCATCAAAACTCTAAGATAAGAATAAAAATCCGAGAAAATTAGGAAAAACCCAAAATAATTGGTACAAGCCTTAACAAATAGAGAGAAGAAATTAAACTATTTTCAGCCTAAATGGCCAAAGAAAACTAAAATCCAAGAGAAGAGAGAAGGGAGGAGAGAGGAGAGAGAAGAGAGAAAAAGGAGAGAGTGTGTTTAGTTTTGTTAAATATTTACTTCCTTTGTGTTTTCATAAGTGCTACACTTTGACCGATATATACTTTTAGACAAATTAATTGACTTAAATAAAATTAGAAGTAAGTGGGGTAATTAAAGTATTAAACATGAATAATACTTTAGACAATTTAATTGACTTAAATAAAATTGTAAAAGAAAGATAGTGGAATTAATTGTTATTTGAAAAGTAATGTATGTGAGAAGAACGAAATAATAAAAAAAAAAAAAAAAAAAAAAAAAAAGCAATAGTGGGTTTGGGTGGGAACTATAAAAAGAGAAAGATATAATATAAAAATGTATTTTTTTTTGTCAAAAAAAAAAGTGTAACACTTATTAAAACACAGCCGCATTTGGTAAGTGTAACACTTATTAAAACACGGAGGGTGTACATGTTTTATTGCTTGCTTCATTTTTTCATGCATAGAGTTTTAGGAGAAATAGTATAAACACTATAAAGTAATCTTCATCATATACTCCATCAGGGGGCTGAGCTATATTGGTGCACACTAGTGCACTTGCATCACCAACTAAAAAAAAAAAAGAAGAAGTTAAAAAAAAATATATATATATATATATAATCAATCAAAGAGACCGGTTATTTATAATAAATGGTCTCTTATATGCTAGCATTATTCACTTCCGCTACTTTCTTGTTTTATTCCCGATTTCCCACTGCTTTTTTTCTAATTAAAAGAGACCAGTTGTTTAAATAATCGATCTCTAAGCTCATTTTATTTTTTTTGGTACTATTAAGATGGTTAAAGAGATCGGTTATATTAAACAACCGGTCTCTAAGGTCAATTTACTTTTTTTTTCTTATGGTACTGATAAGTAGGTGAGGGTTAGGTCGTTGACTAACCTCCTAATATCAAACAATATTTATAAATGGAAAAATTCATGGGAATAATCCCACCTTTGGATTATTTTTTAATAATCCGACCTTTACCCCAATTTTTTTTTAATGGTCCCAACCGGTCATGTTACCTGTTATAACAGGTTACGTGACACGTGGCGGCCTGTGATTGGTAAAAAAAATTAAAAAAAAGTTAAATTTATTTAAGGAAAAAAAAAATTAATTACAAACAGCCCAAGCCACCACCCTTCCTAGCCGGAAACCACCATCTCCTTCCCCTACCCGACCGAAAACCACCGAACAACCACCACAGCCCCTCCCCCTTCACCTGAAACCACCCCTTCCACTCCCAAATCCGACCACTCCACCCCCTTTCCCTCTCAAATCCGACCACCCCACCCCCTTTCCCTCTCAAATTCGACCACCCCACCTTCTTTCCCTCTGAAATCCGACCACCCACCCCCTTCCCCTTTGAAATCCGACCACCCCACCCCTTTTCCCTCTGAAATCCAACCACCCACCCCCTTCCCCTGCCAAATCAGACAACCCCACCCCCTTCCCCTCTGAAATTCGACCACCCCACCCCTTTTCCCTCTGAAATCCGAGTAATCCACCCCCTCCCTGCTGTCGTCGTCCACCGCAACCCTAAACCTTTGAAAAAAATCCGGTTTTGGGGTTAGGGTGGTTTCCCGTTTCCATTTGAGGTGGTTTCGGGGTATGGGAGGGGGGTTGTAGTTTCGAAGGATGGGAAAGGGTTGTGATTTACCAGTGTGGGGGAGTGAGGGGGGTGGGGGTTCCTGGTGGTTGCGTTTAGGGTGGGGGGTTTAGGGTGGTGGTTATGGTGGGGATGGGGCTAGGTTGTGGATGGGGGTAATCTTGTAATCTTGTACCAAGAGACCAAAATAGATCGAGAGGAGAGGGGAGGACGACATTGGAACAGACTGCATCTGGGAGGCCCACTCGTTGTTGGCTTCCCCTCTTACCTCGCCAAACACCACAACCACCCCAGCTGCAGCCATTGACCTTGAAACTACTAAACAAACTCTATTTCAATCGAAAAATACACATCAACCAAAACCGCTACCGGTTACTGTTCATCCGGGACCATTAAAAAGGAATTGGGGGTAAAGGTCAGATTATTAAAAAATAATCCAAATGTGGGATTATTAAAAACGAACGGGCAAAGGTGGGATTATTCCCATGAATTTTTCCTTTATAAATTCCTAACTAACTACTAAGCAAGCATAGAGGCAAGTTCAGAGTCGAACCACAAGGACTAAGTGTATCAATTTAAGCTAATTAAACTAGTAGGAAGGTTGTGAGATAGAGAGAGAAAAAATCAAAACACTACTTAAAGCAATCAACAAAAACTAGGGAAAGTGGAATCCAATTACATTAATGAATCAATAACAAACTGCAATTAAAAGATCATGATCTCAATTAGGAACAATCAACACATTCAGCTCACTCCCACGCAATTAAGCATGTTAATTATCCTACTAAGCTAATTCACTCTCGCGCAACTAGCCTAGCAAAGGTATGGAAGAATCTAGACTCTCAATCAACTCACTTCCGTACAATTGATTGAAAGCACAATTAAAAACCTAGAATCTATTAGCTTACAAGATTCTAATCAATGTAAACATCATCCACACACAATAATCAAGAATCAATTGCATACTAATCACAATAAATCATTCAATTCATCATCATAACCTTCATCCATATCCCTAGAACAAAACCTAAGCAATCATAATGAAGAAAAACATGGAAAACAAGGTAAAACAAGAATTAAAGCAAGAATCAAACAACTAATCTAATTATCTACTCTAATCAACAAAGAATTAAGCAAAAACAAGAATAAAGGAAAGAAATAAAGGTGAGAGAAAGTTAGAAAAACTCATTAAATAGATGAGAAGAGAATCCAAAAAATTGCTTCTTCAAGCTCTCAAATCTCCATTGAAATCCCAAACTTTCTCTCTCTAAAACTACTCCTAAACTAGAGAGAGAAACTCCTAATCTAACCCTAATCCTCATTAGAGGAGAGAGAAAATGTAAAAATCTGCTAAAAGAAGTCTAAAGAAGTCCCCCCTTCCAAAATAGGGTCGTACACTATTTATATTACAAGAAGAAAAAAGGAGAAAAATCGGAGATTAAACGCAAAGAAAACCTAGAAGACCGCGCCCGCGCTCGACAAGGCCGCGCCTGCGGTGGCTGGGGACCGAGTTCGCGATGGGGCATCTCTGGGGCATCTACAGGAACGAAGTGAAATCTGGAAAAATGAAGCACCGCGCACGCAGGAACCAAAGTCGCGCCCGCAGTGGGCAGAGGCTGGCTGCCGCACCACGGTGGCTGCGCCGTGGCTCATGCTTGCTGCCGCTTGTGCTTGCTTCTTAGCTTCTCTTTGCTTCAAGGCTTCTTCTCTTTGCTTCAAGGGCTTCTTCTCTTTGCTTCAAGGCTTCTTCTAATGAATTTTCCGGCCTTCTCTCGAGTCATCAACATCGAGGAAAGTGCCAAGTACCTAGAAAAATAGACCAAGAGAGAAAAGAGTGAAAGATCAGACATAGAAAAGCACGCAAATCATGCTAGAAACCAAGCAAAAAGCATATTATTCACAACTAAGGCCTAAAAGCATAAAACTAAAACAATATTAACTAAAACAAGACTAAAAGGACTGGAAATAACCAAGAAAGACCAAAATAAACCTAAAACTAAGGGAGAAAAACACCCTAAAATGTGTCATAAATGACACTTATCAGCTACTATTAAGAGTAATGGGTGGAACCCATTTGTTTGTTACATGTTATTTGTACTACTTTTGACTTGTAAGATGGATGTTTTAAGTACTATATGGTTGTAGTATGGATTTTTGTGTCCTATTTTTGATTGAAATCAAGTTGGTTGTAATATAATTTTTTTTATTTAATTTTTGGATTGAAATCAATTATAAACTAAACCCAAAAAAAACTTTGTACTTTCATATGTGATCAATAGTTGATGGTGACTCACCATCTCATCGGAAATCCTGGATCCGCCAGTGTACTCTGTAAGCTAAGAGGGTAGGTTGTAGCATGCCCCTGAAAAGATCTTAATACACCTTAGATTATACTACTATAGTTAAATAAGGGTAAAAATAATAATTATTATTCTATGTCTTAATTGCATTTAAGTGATTCGATTATTAAACAATCACATCAATCTTCAATCAAATATGTCCGTCATTGATTAATTCAATCAATGCTGTGATTTAACTTATCATCTTCTATTACATCAAAGAGCTTTCTAAATTGTGTAAAAAAAAAAATAGCTTGCTAAACTAAATGATAATTTCAGTAATTCTCTCAACTAGCGATTTTGAAAAATAAATCTTCTATTTCAATCAAATCACAAATTCCTTAATTGAGATTAAATTATTTCCCACATAAATCAATCTACTCATCAACAACTTAATATATTTACCGAATCAAATCCTATAAAATCTTACTATACATTTATTTGTTTCTCTAACTTGTTAATTTGGTAGTTATAGAAATAATA